TAAAAAGTAAAAGTAGAATACAGTAAAAAAAGAAGAAAAAACGTAACAGACCCAAAATTGAATATTTCCTATATAAGAGTTTAAAGAGAATTTAAAAGGCTTATAGCCTGTAATAAGTTATAAACACGATCAATCTGGACCGTCTCACTGTCATCAATGGCACTGTCCGACGTCAAGCTGAGGTAAACCCAGAGATAAAATGTGTGAAATAATGCCATCGCTGGTAGTCATAGCAACAGCAAGAAAGTCAAATGTGAACAATTGTGACCTGAGTATTACCAAGGCCACCAACTATGGAATCAATCCCTTACAAAAGAACACGAAGACTAAGGAAACTATAGCCAATACAGAGCCTAGACAAGACTTCCTTTCTCCGATAGTTACAGAAATTAGATGGCCAAACAACATCAGAAGACTTTATGTGGAAAAGCTCAGTGATGTTGTTCACCCTAAATCGACTACCAGCTTCAGTGAAGCTTTATTTGACGACTGTCCTAAAATTCACAAAAGGAGAAAGGCAAAGCTATGACGTTGCTAGATTGGAAAGGTTTTTCTGTTGTATCGGCAAGCTCCTTCCAACAAATAACAACATGTTCAGAAAACTTGAATAGAGATGAATGACAATGAAAAATGAGCCAGTCTTTTCAGAATGTCCAAGATAACTGGGTAATAAATCGCACTAAATAATTCCAGGGCCTTCAAAACTATGTGAGTCAGTATATATCTTACAGTTAGCGTGTTGCCTGGGTTCAATATGATCCTAGGAAAGTGAAATGGCACATAACTCGACAGTGAACAGGGTTTCCGTGCATCATTAAAAGTAATTAAATTCGAATTTGTTCCTAAAAATCCTTAAAGCTTAGTAAAAATGGTATTATTACGACAGCGGAAGTCACGTGATCCTGGTAACACGTAATGCGTTCCAGAAAGATCGGGAAACATCACGAATAATCCAGTATATGCTAGGCGCCCTCTACTCTTGTATATAAGTGCACCAGACAATTAATTGGCAGGGTATAGCGGACAGAGAGATTGAAGACATAGACGGACAATTGAGGCAAATGCGGTAGTATGTATAGTGTGTGAATCATTCGTTGAAAATTATAGCGCGTGGTTAAGTGACTGTGGAAATTAAGTGTATTGCAAAGTTGTAATGAGAAAGAATAAACTAGTTTTATTTAAGAAACGACTTGTATCTCTGAAGTTTCTCGGGAAGAATTTCTACCGGAAATTATCAAACGAGCAGAGACGTAACAAACTGGTGTCAGAAGCGGGATAGAAGATAAATAAATAATAAAAAAAAAGATGGAAACGAGAGGTGGCAAATCAAACTACAGCTTCGCGGATTTGATGGCAGCAATACAAGAACAGTAAAATAAACAAGAAGAACGACAAAAGAAACAAGAAGAGAGATTACAGAAGTTGTTGGGGGGGGAAAAGAAAAAAACAAGAAGAGAGATTACAGCAGTTGTTGTTGGAAAAAGAAAAGAAACAAGAAGAACGAGAAAAGAAACAAGAAAAGAGGCAACAGCAGTGGCAAGAAAACTTGCAACACTGGGAGTTCGAACAGCAAAATAACCAATAGAGATTACAGCAGTTGTTGGAGGAAAAAGAAAAGAAACAAGAAGAGAGACTACAGCAGTGGTTGGAGGAGAAAGAAAATGAACAAGAAAAGAGACTACAGCAGTGGATAAAGGAGAAAGAAAATAAACAAGAAGAAAGTCTCCAATAATTGAGAGAAAGCCAGAATACACAAATGGAAAACATTAGTAAATTTCAAAGCGAATTAAATACATTAAAGGATGATTTACTGTCTTTTACACAAGGGAATATATTAGCCATCACCCTAATCAGCCTCAGACAATGGGAAGCCCCTTCAAAACCCCGCAGCTAAACCCTAATGCAGAAATCTTCAGTCCTGTTAGAAATCACATCCCAGATATGAATGTCAGCAATAGGGGTGATCTAGCGCGAAGGACGCCACAGGAATTCGATGGGAAGGCACCGTGGGAAACATATAGAGCACAATTTGAGCTCCTGGCAGAAATGATCGGATGGACAGAATAGCAGAAAGCAGTACATCTGGCAACGAGCTTGAAGGGACAACCACTGGAAATGCTTGAACAGTTGTCAGCAGACCACAGGCACAACTATAGAGCACTGGTAGCTGCTCTAGAACTCAAGTACGGAACCCAAAATCTGTCCGAAGTCTACAGGACTAGGTTTAGGACGAGAGTCCATGCGAAAGGGGAGAGCCTGCAAGAGCTGGCACAGGACTTGGAAAGTATGGCACTCAACTGCGCCACCCAATCTCCTGAAGTTGTTGCTGAGAGATCAGTTTGTAGATGCCTTGGACAGTCCACAACTGAAGATTCAAGTAAAGCTAGCACATCCCTTTACTATACAAGATACAATGGCCAGAGCTCTTGAATTCGAATCCTACGTTAAGTCCAGCATAGAGGTAC